CCAGTCACTGGGAGCTGGGTCTGTCCAAGCCAGGAGCTGGCAGCTTCTGGGATGAAGGCCAGGGACCCCTATTGGGAACTACTGCAACTTCTGTCAGGACAAGGTTTCCTGCTTGAATAAGCCCAGCTGCAGAACAGCAAGGAAAGCCTGACCCTTGTTTGGGCTGTGACAGGGGTGAGGTGAGGTAGGGATGCAGTAGGGGGTAACACTCACATCCACACCAGGCAGTCCTGGCAGTCCTGCCTCTCCTGGCTTCCCCGGCTTCCCTGAGGTCCCTTTGGGCCCCTGGTAGGAGGAAAGGACAGAGTTATGCAGGAAGTACCTGGCTCTAAGCTCTAGCCTCCATCAAGGAAGTCAAGTCCTCTCTGTGTCAGCTGCTGCCCAGCCACGGCGATGGGCTCCTCGCTCTGCTGCTCCACTGGGCCCTGGGAGGTTGCCCCACTCCCATAGCATCTACTGAATATTCACCGACTGGATCCAGCCTCCCCAGCAAAAGACCAGCAGGTCACCATATAGGAACGCCAATGGGCTCAGAATCTTCAACCTACCCAGACACAGTGGAGAGAGACCTATGGGGCTGTACTATCTCCTTTCCCTGGTTTATCTGGACACTGGCACAAAGAAAGCTTCCAGCCAGACCCAGCACAGAGTCCCCTATGCTCCCCCCCCCACACACACTGCCAGGCTCTGCTCTCAGGTCTCTCCTGGGGCAACACAGGCTTATAGCAATGAGGGCAGGGCATCAATGCCCTTCTGTTTTCTGTGTTCATCTCTTCCTCGCAAACTGGAAAAGCCTCCCTTTTCCAACCAGGGACACTTACTGGAGGGCCAGGCAGACCTGGGGGGCCAGCTTCTCCCTGCAAAAATAAAAAAAAAAAACACCACATGTAACTCCCAAGAATAGAAAACCCACCTAGATAGAGCTGGGCCATTCTCCAATCCAGTATTGGAAGCTGGACCCCTGGAGACATTATGGGGAGGGGATCCCCAGACCCTCTCGTTTATATCTGGAGGACTCTCCTCTGCAGGCAGGCAAGGATGGGATGAGCTAGAAACAGGCTCAGCCACACAGCATTTGAGAATCACTTGGGAGGAAACACTCCACAGGGCTCCTCTGCACTGACCTAACGGCCTTAGAGATAAGGCAGCTAAGCGTCTTTGACTCCATCTGTCTGGGAGGTAGCAGTTCCTCCCCCATTTTCCAGTGTCCCCGGGAGCCTCATCGCCTGTGGATACCTACTAGGGTGGCTGAATCTTTCAACTGAGACTTTATGACTATTTTAAGTAGGAGCCTTAAAGCCTGGATGCTCAGCTACAACAGAGGGGGTTCAGAGGGTACGGTCCTAGGCAACCCAGGTCCAACATGGCGGGCCAGGAAGGGTGTGAGGGAGCCCATGGTCATTTTGGTTGAGCTAGATACTGGGACTCTTGGGGATACTGAGAAAAGCTCAGGGCACTCGTAGTGAAGCTTCCTATACCCCTCTATGGCGTCCCCAGGAGAATAACATGGCTGTCCTTCCTGGAGAAGACCCTATGAGAAGCTTTTCATGCCAGATGATGGGAGGATGTGGGGTGGACGATTTCAGTTGTCTCCCCAAACTGTTTGGGCGGTAACTGGAACCATCTCGGAGCCTAAGCTGGCTCCCAGCCCCATCCAAGACTAGCTCTATTCTCAGTCCCAATAACAACCCCAGGTCCCCCAGAGTAAACCCTAGAATACGGGAGCACATGCACCGTAGGGCCCATACTTTTAGCCAAGGGCCACCCTGCTATCGGTACCCCAGGATCTACCCCAAAGACAAATGAGGTCTTTTTAGCTCCACTAGGGGTACCCTGTATCACCCTAGCTCTTAGAGGAGGGGCTTGCATTTGTGTTCACAAGGCCATGAGTCTCAGGGCACCTTCCCCATTCCTCTCCCAACTCACATCGATGCCATCCTTGCCGGGCTTCCCAGGAGGCCCTTGTGGACCAGGGGGGCCTCGAGGTCCCACTTTCTGAAATTAAGATAAGTTATTAGGTAGCCCTCCTTTCCACCATGTCAGCCTCCCCCTCCCCGCCCCCCGTCTCATCTTCCCCAGCCCAAGTAATTCTGGGGCCTGTGACAGTGGCCCTTGACCTCCATTCCTGCCCGCTAGAAAATCCCAAAGTCTCCAAAGTCGCCTGGCGCGGAGGTACAGTTTATCCCCGCTAGCTCCGAGTGGCTGCGGGCCCGCAGAGAGTCTCCAGGAACAAAGGCAACATTGTCCTGAGCTAGGTGGTAGCGCCGGCAGCAGCCTGACCCGGTTGGGCGAAGACAGTGGGAGTCCAGGTTCATGGTCCTCTTGTTCTAATGTCCAGGAGGCTCAGCTGCATCTCTAGAAGTCGCTCGCAAGAGCGAGGCGGCGAGGAGGCTGCCAGAGATATCCTCGAAGGTCCGCGGCAGCGGAATTCAGGGTTTGGCCCAGGAGGCTCGAGCTGGCCCAGGTAATGACGTTCGACGTACAGCCCTATCCCCGACCCGGTCGGCACCCGTGGGCTCGCGCTCACCTGCGCGGAGGGGGCCGTCAGAAGCTGCCCCAACAGCAGCAGGGCTAGGACGGGAGCTCCGGTCATGGCTGGCTGGCGGGCGCTCTGAGCGGCTGGCGCCAGGCAGCAGGGTGGGGAGAGGGGCTGGGGGCGGTGCGAGGCCGAGCGCCCCGCCCTGCCCCGCCCCGCCCGCGCACAAGACCCCCATTCAACTGGGCCCACCTGGGCCGGCGGGGCGCCACATGGGCTGGAAAGAAAAAAAAAAACCCAGAAACATTTTCCGGCCCTCCTCTGAGTTAAAATTATCCTAGGACAGCGCGTTACACACACGCACCTTTCAGCGCACAAGAAAGACTCTTTTCTCTCCCACTCCTCTGCCAGATCGTGGCCGGGAAGAAGCGCCACAGTAAAGGGCATCTTTTGAGAACTGCGAAGGGCACGCCCAAGCTTCCCAAATCCTAAGAGGATCACGGTGGGTAAATCTCCCTTGAGGATGCCTACCACGGCAGACAGCCCAGCACTTCTGGCTAGCCATCCCTGCCCTCTCTCTTTAGCTTGGATCCAGGCTCTAGTTGGGGTAGGGGTGGGCCAGTTCATTTCAGCCACCACTGGAAAGCCTCATAATTATGCTGCACCCCGTTCCCCAGGAGGGAGCAAGAAGGAAGAGGAAAGCGGCAGCCTGAAGATCAAGGCGATCAGGGCTGCAGAGAGAAGGACCCAGTGTTAGGGCACGCCTGGAAACAGGTCTCCACATTGGTGGTCTGTCCTTTAACCTAACTTCAGATTATTTTACTAAATTATGTATGAGTGTTTTGCCTGCATGTATGGTGTATGCATGTGTGTCATGTGCGTGTCTGGTGTCCAGAGGTAGGAAGATACAGATGTTTGTGAACCTCCATGTGGATGCGGGGAATGGAACCTGAGCCCTCTACAAAAGTAGCGAGTGCTCTTAACTGCTAGCTGGGCTAACTCTCCAGCCCCTTCCTTCATCTTTCAGACATCTAAATCACCTATGGGGTTTGCCAAAGCTGCAGGATCCCAGCCTACCTGTCCTTTTCTGGGAATCTGAATTTCCTGAGTAACACTGCCCTGGGTTTACAGGACATGGCAGAAGCTCCAGCAGCAGGCAGGGATCACGTGACAGAAATGAACAAGAATAGAGCGGACAAGGGAGGGAGGGAGAGAAAAATGGCCCCAACAGAAGCTGTGGCTTTCACCTGCCAAGTGAGGTAACAGGAGATTCTCCTTCCAGTAACAGGCACCCCACTGCCTTCTCAGCCCTGCAGTGGGAGTTTGTGAATGAACATAAACTGAGGAAGCCTTGACAAGGGGAGAGAGCAACTCAGGCACTGGAGGACCGTGAACGGCCCACCCACATGGCCTGAGACTAGGATGTCATGGCTCCTGTAAAGGACCTCCTACCTAACCCAGGTTCCTCGGGGCACCACAGTCTAGGTCTTCCTGCCCCCTCAGCTTCCAACATGTGGCAAGCTGACCTTTGGGTTGGGCCTGGGGAGCATTTTTGGCACTTGAAGCAGGGTTTGTCTTCAGCACCCTCACACCCCCAGCCTCACATCCTAGACCCTGAGAGGGTCCAGACCGCCCAGCACTTGCCTTGGAGCTGTGCAGAGCTGAAGCTTTATCTACCTGTTTTGGAACACTATTGTCCTGAAAGTCAAGTGAGTCAAAACAGCCAGCCACTCCTAGAGCCTCTCCTCACTTTCAAGTATTGATATTCCCCATCTGACCTGAGTCTCGGCCATTTAGTAAAAGATGCCTGGGCACTCCAAGAGGGACCCCAGCTGGAGTAACGAGATGCCGTCTCTCCATCTCAGAACATCTATTTCCATTTCATGGTGGAAGCCTCACCAATGAGCCAAACCACAGCTGAAGGTCCGGAGGCCCACAGCCTGGAGCTAACCTTGGGAGGGCACTGTCCACAGCATCATACAGTGACCTTGTTAAGAAATGGCACCTGACTCCTATGTTCAACTCAGGGAGAACTGTAATCCTCTCCCCCAGAACACCCAGGACTGGACTTGGTTGCCAACTCACTTGCACCGAGACGTGTGTGGCCCTGTCCTCAAGGTTCACAAAACTCCTTACGTGAGAGATAGGCACTAGGGAGCTAGAAGGAGGAAGAGCCCCAGCAGAGAGAAGCTGCAGTGGAATGCTGGTCTGATAGGCCACATCTAGCCCCTGAAGATCAGCGGAGAGGGGCATGACACCCAGCACGGTCCCCAGCCAACCCAAGAGAGCGATGTACCAGGTGACAAGCCGCAGGTAAAGTGCTGATGATCAAACCCTGTATTCAGGAGGGCTGTATGCAATTTTAGGATAGGCGCCTGTGCCCAGAAAGAGCTGTGCAGCCAGTATCTGCCAGGCTCTGTACCGGCTAAGCGGCATGTGTGTGGCACTGGCCAGGCTGCTCTCAACTTGGGGGAAGAGGGCAGTCTGGAGGAAAAACTCACAGAACCCACAGGCAACCAAAAAACAAAGTCCAAAGAGTTTATTCAGAAAAGGCCTCACTTGGCACCAGATTAAGAAAAGAGGCCCCTCCCCCGAGACCCTTAGGGTCTGTTCACAAACACGGGGCTCAGAGGGCAGTGGGGGAGGACACAGTGAGGTAAGGAGGGTTCTGAAGGCAGAGCCTCAGTCCCCCTGGTGGCTGCTTCAGTGGCCACCAGGGAGAGGCCAGCACTGTGGGGCACCAAGAAGAGCTAACAACAGGGCTCTAGGACACAAGACAACCCCTGCAGTGGGTGGAGCAGGACTGAGATGCACCTCTAAGGCTTTGGGGGTTCAGCAGAAGTCCCCATCCCTGCCAACCTCTCTGACTCACCCACTGAGACTTCTGTGGTGTCAGGGTGTTCCACCAAGTTCCCAAAGGTACCTTGCTCTACTCCCACCTGGCTTTCTGGGTACTCTACCCCCACCTGGCTTTCTGGGTACTCTACCCCCACCTGGCTTTCTGGGTCCTCTGACTCCACCTGGCTTTCTGGGTACTCTACCCCCACCTGGCTTTCTGGGTCCTCTGCCCCCACCTGGCTTTCTGGGTACTCTACCCCCACCTGGCTTTCTGGGTCCTCTGACTCCACCTGGCTTCCTGGGTCCTCTGTCCCCACCTGGCTTCCTGGGTCCTCTGTCCCCACCTGGCTTTCTGGGTCCTCTGACTCCACCTGGCTTTCTGGGTCCTCTGACTCCACCTGGCTTTCTGGGTCCTCTGTCCCCACCTGGCTTTCTGGGTCCTCTGGCCCATTCTCATCTTTTTGGGCCTCAGGACACTCTGAAGGTGTAGGAGGCAGGGCAGGGCATAACGTATCAGTGCTATGGTTACTGGCTACTCCATCACCCCCAGTCCCTTCCTCCAACTTCCTACGTTTTCTTACCTCATCAGTCACCTCGGCCCCGTGGGTAACAGGACAGGGCTGTTCAGCCTCCCTAGGTTTCTGGCTGCTGGGGCTGAGGGCACACCCCTCAAGGTTGTGGACAATTTTCTCTACCTGAGGATCTGCCTCCCATGGGCTCTGCTCCTGCCTGTTTCCCTCCAACTTTCTCTTCTTGCTCTCTTTGGGGCTCAGGGACTCAGCCTCACCCCTCTGGTCCCCATCCAAGGTTCCCACATCATCTTGGGTCTTTGTGCTCAGCAGCCGGGGATCCTCAGTTGTTCCCCTGTCCCCACCCAGGTTCCTTCCAGATCCATAGGTCCGACCCCGTGTGCCAGCCTCTTGGGAGGGGTTTCTGGAGCCCTCATCCTTATCTGCCTGCCCTAGTGCCCAGAGTGGCTGGGGCCTGAATCTCCGCAGCTTGTCATGGGGCCCCCAGACAAACTGGCAGCGTGGCTTGAAGTGCTTCCAAGCAAAGTGCACCAGCTCTCGGCGCTGGTGCCGGCAGCGCACGGCGAACAGGAAGTAGTCCAGGGCACTCTGGCGCACGCTGGGTAATTTGTTCTCCACTAGTGTCTCCTCCAGGAAGAAGCGGACCAGCGGTGCCTGGTAGTGCTCCAGGCCCAGCTCACCCAGTGACTTGAGGATGCGCGTAATACGCAGGTTGTTGTGGCTGTGTCTGTCAAAGTGGGTGACAAAAGGTTTTGGTTTCTTTTTTGTTTTGTTTTGTTTTTGAGACAGGGTTTCTCTGTATTTTTGGAGCCTATCCTGGAACTCACTCTGTAGACCAGGCTGGCCTCGAATTCACAGAGATCCACCTGCCTCTGCCTCCTGAGTGCTGGGATTAAACGTGTGCGCCACCACCCCTGGTGGTGACAGGAGGTTGGATGGAACTGGACCTGGGGGATACAGATTTGGTCAAGGCATCCCCAGCTGGCTTCATCTCAAATTTCAGGGTCTTCTCAGGCCCCCACCTGGGAAATTGGACTGTGTACACAGCTGAAAGCTAGAAGGGGCTGACGGCAGACCAGAGTGACTGAGATGTCTGCATGGATGGAGGGGATGAAAACTCCCAAACCAAGGGAATGGTTCCTTATAATCCCACAATCCCCGCCACATGGCGGACCTGTACACTGTGGCTGTATTAAGCTTCTCTGCTGGAAGCCCAGTCCCAGATACTAAAGGGGAGCAGCAGGGATGGGAGGATGCCAGCAGGGCCCTGCGCTCACCTGTTCAGGTTGTCAAAGCGTGACTTGAAGTTCTGTGCACGGCAGACTGCACCTGTGTCCCGGTCCTTAAGTTGGATCCCATAAAAGCCCAGCATGAGCTCATAGGCCTGGACAAGACGCTCTTTGACCTCCATGGAGCTTTTGAATGCCTAGAAAACAACCCCCTGGGGGCTCAGGTGACCCTCACTGGTCACTAGGCCACAGGCCTTCCCTTAGGCCGACTCAGCCTCCACCTCCAGGAAAGCTGTCACCTGGCACAAGGCATTCCTTGCTGTCCCTGTCCAGGGCCTCCCGACCCTTCTTTCTACTACTCAGCCTCTAAGGGATGCCCCCTTTCTGTGATGTCCCCAATGGGCGGCATCATTCCTATCAGGCAGACTTCTATATGCCAAAGGGGCACCTTTGTCCGTGACCTCTCTGCTGGCGGAGGTAGCTCTCCTAACGCTCCAGCTGGGCCCAGGAAGGGAACTTACGTCAATCTCCTTGAGTGTGAGGGGCTTGGCGTGCCAGTTCACTCCCGGTTCCCTCAGAGGAAACAGCCTGTGAAGACGGTGAGGAAACAGGTACTTTAGTATCAGGCAGCAACTCCTTGTCCTGAATTCAGTGCCTCCCTCTCATCCCTGGGGGGCGTTGGCTGGCATCTGTCTTATCCAAGGAACTGGGTAAGGATGACAGTCAGCTGAGAGCAGTTAAGGTGCCCGCTTGGAGCCTCAGCCTTTGTGCTCATGGGCTGTGTAGTGTAAAGTCAAAATGGGCAAGACCAGTGTGTCTGTCACCTCCGGGGAGCAGCGCTTTCTTTCCTATGCCTTCCTATTTTGGTCTTTCTCGTCCTCAGTCCTGTAGAGTTACTGCCACAGTGTACACCATGCCAAGAGGGCACTGGGAGCAGTCATGGGAGAGATCCTCAGGCAAGGGATGTGTACTTGCCAGGAAATGGCTGCTATGTGGCACCTCACTCGAGCCCTGCTGAAACCAAGGCAGGTCGCTCCAGCTGCCCACAGACCTGCACACAACGCCCCCACAGAGCCCAACAACAGGGACACTGACTAGGATCCCTGTCACATACATACAGGCTTACGGAAGGAAGGAGTGCTTCAGACACACCTAAGCCTACACACCACACAACAGCTCCCACCCAGGAGACCAGGCCCCCCTCTCCCTGGGTTCCACTCACCACTGGATGTAGGAGTGATTCTCTTCAAGGAGCTCATAGTTGTCTTTCCATTTCTGAAGAATTTCCTCAATGAAAGAACCTGGAAGTCCCATGGGGAAAAGTCAGCTACAGAGGTCTCTGTGACACAGCTCAGGGGCCAGAGTTATGTCAAAAATCACTGCCTACCCTCAATTGCTGTAGGGTTCACAGGACTCAGTGGAGCTACCCATAGCTTATCAAATATAAAATGTGCTAGTTTTAGGTAACTCGGCCTACTTCTTTTTTTTTATGATTTTTTTATATTTATTTATTTATTATGTATACAATATTCTGTCTGTGTGTGTCTGCCGGCTAGAAGAGGGCACCAGACCTCATTCCGGATGGTTGTGAGCCACCATGTGGTTGCTGGGAATTGAACTCAGGACCTTTGGAAGAGCAGGCAATGCTCTTAACCTCTGAGCCATCTCTCCAGCCCTCAGCCTACTTCTGTATGTGAGGGGTGCACTACTTCCTCTCTGGGGTGGGCATGTATGTGTGTGTGTGTATATGTACATGTGTGTATGTGTGTATACATGTGTATGTGTATATGTATGTGCACATATATAGGTATGCATGTATATATGTGTGTATGTATGTGTATATGTATGTGTATGTGTGTATGTATGCATATGTATGTATGCATGCATGCATGCATGCGTGTGTGTGTGTGTGTGTGTGTGTGTGTATGTGTGTGTATATATATTTACTATCAGCTAGGAAGAAATCCCCATAGAAACCGGAACATGGTCTAGGGAAGGTGTCTTTGAAGGCCAGACAGCAGACACCTTAGCTATGTAGCTGCATGGCCTTTTCCATGCTACAGTGAAAGAGTAACCGTGTAAATGGATGGGTGTGAGCAGGCACCACAAAACTTTACTTCTACCGTTTAGTTTCAAATAACGCTTATGTCACACAACAGATATGGCACCTCAAGTCTATAATTTTAGCACTTGGGAGGCTGAGGTGGGAAAATCTTGAGTTTGAGACCAGCCTGGGATACATAGAAAGACCATTTTAAAACCCCGAAAGCTTACTCTCTGGCCCCTCAACCTAAGCTCCAATCCCCTTGGCAGCTTCAAGGGGGCACTGCAGAGACATTGAAAGCCAAAATTGGCTGGGCAGTGGTGGCGACGGCCATTAATCCCAACACTCAGGAGGCAGAGGCAGGCGGATTTCTGTGAGTTCGAGGCCAGTCTGGTCTACAAGAACTAGTTCCAGGACAGGCTCCCAAGCGACAGAGAAACCCTGTTTTGAAAATTAAAAAAAAAAAAAAAAGCCAAAATTGGACTAAGGACACAGACAGCCTAACAGAATGGACAACTGGCCAAGGGCAGAAGGGCTGGAGCCGAGTGAGGAGGTACCGTTTGGCTGGAAGCAGATCTCATTCTTGTAGAAACTGAGGTTGGACATGTCGCCATTACAGTCTTGATCTGCCAAATCCTGAAGAGCCAGAGAAAGGATGAGTGAGGATTCATGAGAAACGAGCTGTCTCTGAGGGCCCCCCAACTCATGCAGACCCCAAAGGGTAGCAAGGGTAGGTTTAGAGGACAGCACTACCTTCAGCCCCCTACTCCCCTTCTGTACCTCAAAAATACCACAGGGGTTGCCAGTACTCATGGGTTCAGAGGAGAGACTGAGGAGATCCCCTGTACCAGCCAGGGAGCCCGTGTGAGCACTGAGTCACGTGTTCTGTCAGAAGACGGTCCCTCATTTTAAAGCTACTCTCTGAGGCTCAGCTAAGACAACATGCTCTATCACCCATGACTAGGGGAAGGGCACGGATCTGCACTGGCAATGAAGCACACACCCCAGAACCCAAAGCTGGAGTTTTAGCAGGCCAGGGGTTACTCTACTTGGGTAGGGGCCATGTGTACCTACCGGATAGCGGTGTCGGTACCTTTGCATGTCCTGCATAGCTCGCCAGTTTCGGTACCCCATCATCTTGGGCTGGAGAGAGAATAAAAGGAGTAAGTGACCTGGAAAGTGTCCAGGATGAAGGCAGCAGGGTTTGGGCCAACCACCATTGAGCTCTAGGCAAGAGGAATGGGTATTTCTGGTTTTTTCTTCTGGTCCCCACCCATCCATGTTAGGGGTTCTGAGAAGGCCGATCCAGACACTAGAGAAACACACCATGTCAACACAGAGGAACTGGAGTAGCCTCAACTACCACTCCTGCCTCTCTCAGGACTCCCCTTTCTCCTTAGGGTGCTCTGGCCCAGGCTAGCCTGCATACTTCCAAGGTGTGCATGGCTGGTGCTTTTCTGTCCCCAGCCCCAGGTGCATGTCCTCTCTGGTCTGTTGGCCAACCTTGTTTGGGTCTAAGTCCTATGTGTGTCCCCCTTCCCTGAGTACTATAGTATTTTCCCCCACATTATGCTATGAATGGTCACTGGGCTGTATCCCCAAGGGCAGCTACTTTGCCAGCCACAGTCTCAAGAGAAAACCCAGATGCCTCTGGATGGGTCTGATGGGGGGGATGAATGAGGCCCCTTCCCTGCACACCCATGCTCCTCCCTGGCTTAACGTATTGGAAGACACTATGCCTCCAAGCTGGGGCTGGCTGTTTTGTTTTGTTTGGTTGGTTTTTGGAGACAGGTCCTAGCTGTCCTGGAACTACCTCTGGTAGACCAGGCTGGTCTTGAACTCACAAAGATCCACCGGCCTCTGCCTCCCAATTGCTGCTGGGATTAAAGGCATGTGCCACCACCGCCTGGTGGGCCTGGCTTTTGGTGACTACCCCTTCAGATATGATCCAAGAGCTCGCAGGGGGAAACAATTCCTGTCAGGGCCTTTGGACTTTACCCAGCCTCAGCTTTGTTCCATTGTAGTCAGGCAGAGGCCTGCGCTGGCCTGCCTGGAAGGCCGGCCTGAGAGCCTGCCTCTCCAGATTCTGGGCCACCTTCCCAAAATAGCAGACACCCAGAGATTGTAGCAGCGGAGAGAATGGTGATAGTCCTTACTCTCATTTTCTAGGCTTACCACCAAACCTGAAACCACATTTATTTATAACTAGGACAGCGCATCTTACAGAATGACACTGCGACTTATTTGCTGGTTGCTACAAAACTATACCCGGAGACAAGCTCTTGATGGCAACAAAAGTTACCAGAGCTAGAGGCAGACAAGACAGCCCCCTGCCCCAGGTCTCCTAGGCCGGGGTCGCTTCCGAGCCCGTGGAGTCCGTCTGCAGTCGGGGCCCGAACGTGGGGCGGAGGAAGGACAACCAGAGGAAAGGCCACCCACGCAGGACGGGGACCTGGGGCGCTCTCTGACGTCAACCACGCACGACCCCCCCCCCATCAGTCGCTGCCCTGACGTCACCACACGGCCTGGGCCCGGCGCCCCCTCGGGACAGCGGCCAGGGCCAGGCGCTGCCGGCCTGGTGCCGCCCTGCCGCCCTCCTGCACCTGGAACACGCCTGGCCGTGTCTCCTCCGCGTCGTCGTCCTCGTCGCCCGTGTCCGCATCGCCCGTATCATCCTCCTGGCCGTCCTCGCCATCCTCCTCGCTCTCGTCCTCCCAAGTGGAATCGCAATTCAGGTCGTCCATGCTCGAGAGGCAGGACCCGCTTTCCGGGGAAAGGAAAGTGAAAGAGGAGGAAGCGCGGAGGCGGGGCGGCGCCAGGTCCCGCCCACCGCCCAGTTTCCGCCGTTACGCGAGGTACCCAGCCTCCCTGGGAGCTGGGGGCGAAGAGGAGGCGATCCCGGCGAAGGGCAACCCCTGAAGGCTGTGCACCGGGGATCCCTGCCCCCCACCGTCTCCCGGAGGATAGAGGGAGGCTTCTCCCCAGTCCTGCGGGAAGTGCCTCTCCGCCTGCTGTGAGGGCTGCTGGGTGCTGGTCTCTAATCTTGGTTGAGGTGTCTAACTGCGGTATCCTCTGTCTGGATTCTGTGTCCATAATAGCTCACTCTGTACGTATTTGTATTTGGATGCACATAGACACCAGACATCGGTGTTGAGAATAGCTTCTCAGTAGCGTTGTCCACCCTATTGTTTTGAGACAGGGGCTCTTTCACTTGGAGCTCACAGATTCCGTGAGGCTTGCTATCCAGCAAATTCCAGGGATCCTACTGTCTCTGCCTCCCCTACTGGCATTACAAGTATATGCCACCAACTCCAGCTTCTAGATTGTGCTCAAAGGCAGGTAATCTTATGCTTGTAAGGCAGGCATTTAAAAACAATAACAACAACAAAACCATTTGAGCCATGTCCGTACACCCTCTACTTTCTGAAAGAACAATAGTGAACGCCTGAAGCTATGGGAGTTCTGGAAACCCGCTATGTCCATTGCAAATTTCCTGGGATCATGTGGATAGGTAGCCCTTGGATGTTAGTTGGAATTCCACTGCCGATTGTGGCCACGAGTCTGACCTCATTAAGTAACATACTGTTTGAGACAAGATAGGGAAAATTAAGGGGACATGAATGGGATGCAGGGGAAAGGACCCTCATTCCAGTATGGTTGAAGTTTCTCACCAGTTGAGAGTTAGGAATTCTAGGACAGTTAATAAAATTTTTTTGAAGACTACCTACATAGAGAAAATATTCCTTTTATATAACNTTATATAACCATATCCCAAATAATATATATGTTATATATATTAAATATATATATTTAAAGCCAGGTGTGGCACACTGTTTATTATGTATATAGTGTTCTGTCTGCATGTATGCCTGCAGGCCAGAAGAGGGTGCCAGATCTCATTAAAAATGGTTGTGAGCCACCATGTGGGGGGCTGGGAATTGAACTCAGGACCCCTGGAAGAGCAGCCAGTGCTGAGCCATCTCTCCAGCCCGCCCCCCAATATTAAAATAGTAATGATTGTACTTCAGGCTTATGTGTATATAACCTTAAAGTGTGGCCTTACTCCTTGACCAGATGTGAATCTGTAATTATCTGGGAATCTCACAGTAAAAATACATTGTCTCTAGCGACTGCCCAGTACACAGTAGAGACTGTGGAATGATCTGTTAAGTTCTCTAGCAACTCCTTGAGTTAAACTTCAGAAACCACCACAATCAGACTGACGACTGTAGAGACGCATATGCCATTTTCTCTTGAGAAGCTCGTCCACTTGGATGTGCTCTGCTTTTCCCAAACACCTCTATCGACCCATGTGCCTCACACCGACTCACCCTGGGAAGTCAAGAATCCTGGCTTTATCTGAGTGATCTCTGAAAGAACTCATGGACCAGTAGAACGATCAATGGGTAAAGGCACTAACTTGCCATCAAACCTGGGAACCTGAACTCACTCCAAGGGACCCACATGGTCAAAGACAAGAACTGACTGCTGAAAGTTGTCCCTGACCTCCTCATGTACTCCCACACAAATACAAACGCACAGTAAGTAAATAAAAATGTAATAAAAAAAAAACCAACACATTTCCAGTGCTGTAGGTGGCGGCATAGAGCTGTGTCTGACCTCTGCTCCACTGTTTCTGATACCAGCCCTGCTCAGGCTGGACCTTGTTAAACTTTAATCTCAGCACTAGGAAGGCAGAGGCAGGCGCATCTCTGAGAGTTCAAGGCCAGCCTGGTCTACAGAGCGAGTTCCAGGACAGGCTCCAAAGCTACGCAGGGAATCCTGTCTCGAAAAACCAAACTGAAACAACAAAAACAAAACATGTCTTTAGATAGGGAAGCTAAAGGTGGGGTGTTAGTGGGTGCTGGGGACATCTCCTCAAGGTTTGGCCATCCCTTGGATGGACAACACCCACCCCTAACTGCCCCAGAAAGTTCAAAGATCGACATGCCATGGGCTGATAATAATATCTGCACAAGGCAGTGGCTGCCTGCACAAGGCAGGTGCCAGTGCAGCAGCTGCAGGCCTGTGCTGTCAGTGTTAAAGATACTGACACCAGTGTTTCTGTTGTAGCCATGTTGAATAGCCTGTTAGCTGCTTTAGAGAGTCTGCCACATGCTGCTCTTTCCTTGAGTGTCTTTGGTCTGAAAATGCCCAGGGTGGCTCAGTGCTGCCTCACCTACAAGGAGAGTCAAAATATTTCCCCGAGTCATGAAGAAAAGGAGACTTCTGTCCACATAGGAGGTAGTACTGCTTGCCTTGAGCTTCACAGGTGTCTGGCTGGGGTGAGCTCAGGTTAGAAGTCAGGGAATAACAAGTTACAGCCCTCTTATTTTGCCCTTTCTGATTCCCCCACTGCCACAAACACTTTGTAGCCTGCTGTTGCTACTCAGTGTTCTTCATTGTTTTCTGTGCAGAACTCGCTCCTGGTTCCCTTCTCCACCACCTCTGAGCCAGACTGGGAGAGGTAGGACCACACCTACCTGAAGGATCCATACTGAATTCTCTCCAGAGCAGAGAAAGAAAATGCCTCCCTATGCTTTACAGAATAGGTGTCCTTGTGGTCCCGTGTGTCCTCAACCAAGGATGCCATCTATGGTGGAGGTCGTCAGTCTCAGCACCAGTGTGGCTTTTCGGTTATTAAAAGTCTGAACGTTTGTTCAGCCATTTCCTTTTGTTTTACAGCTTGTAGCACTCTTGTATCTGTACGTGGCACCCTTGCCTCCTTTGCACTCTGGTTTCCTTCTCAGCTCTTGTTGGTAGCTTATTCTTGGTTAGGGGTGCACAGATCCCAGCCTAGGCCAGGGAAGGGTAAGCAGAACTCCAGGTTATACTGCCAGGCTGTGACATACTTCATGCCAGCAGCATGACCTAGACCCCTCCCCGTCGTGTGTGTGTGTGTGTGATCTGTTCTTTCAAAACAGGGTTTCTCTGTGTAACAGCTCTGGCTGTCCTGGAACTCACTTTGTAAACTAGGCTGGCCTCAAACTCACAAGAGATCTGTCTGCCTCTGCCTCCTGAGTGCTGGGATTAAAGGCGTGTGCCACCACTGCCCAGCTACCTAGATCTATCTCTCTTAAGGGACACAGGGACTCAGGAGGGCAACAGGTTTGAGACAACATGGCCAGAATGGGACATTGAGTCATTGGGTGCAGTCTGAAAACGACTCAGGACAAATGTCTTGACCTGACCCTCCTGCTGCTCTCGTGCCCCTAGATTGTTCTCAGGTGGTTTTAGAAGGATGAACCCGACAGGAGAGAAGACTGCCTTCTTGCTCATAACCCAGTGCTCCTCAGGGGCACTATCTGCTCCCCATTTGTCCTGCTAGTGGTGGATTCAACAGCAAGGCTTCTCCCACCAAATAAGACTCCAGTAGTGTGAACACTGGGCATGGAGTGGCCCCAAGCCAGTTCCCCAAACATGCTGTAACACTGCTTTCCCTGTCTCTTGCACTGGGACATATATGTCACCGCTCCAGGTCCGAGCAGTCTATAGTATCAGGGCGTCATTTCAGTAGGCTCCTCTTCCGCCCTATCCCAGGAGGCAGGAAACTGTTATGACCTTGTCCAGGCCCTACAGAAGAGAGGACAGGACAGGAGCCTAGATGAACTCCTCTGTATCCTCTCAAGATGCTTTCAGCGCCAGGGAGGGACTAGTGGTTTATTCCTGGTGACCCACCTGTCCTGACTGGGAGTGGTAGTGGGCTGGTACAGGCAGCAGCTGGGCAGGCAGTGGTGGGGGCTGGGGCTAGGGGTGGGTGTCCCGCTAGTCTGTGATGCCGGGAAGCTAAGTGCACTCTACAGCTATGAATCCTGTGGGGAGTCCTTTCCTCTGTAGAAAACATCTATTTTAGTAGCAAATCACACAACTGCCAAGATGATTTTTTTAAAATGATTTAATGTTTTGCAAAGAAAGTGTACTTCAACCATCAGGCCAGTGGCTCTTCAGTCTGATGGCTATGCCTTTATTCCATGTCCTTAATTGGTCTTTTCCAAGTTACTAAAATTACAAAAATAACCGCTAAAAATTCTGTATCTGGCATATAAAAATGGGGCCAGAGGTATCTCAGTAGTTACCTTAAAACAAAACATCTCAGAAAAAACACATCACAAGTTTAACTTCTGCAGTATTTTTCTTCATACAAAACACTAGTAAAATAGGCTTCTTAAAAATTAAATAGTGAAATACCAACCAAATTATATACATTGTTACAGTACAAGTGAATGAGGCAAAATATCCAGTTCTGTTTCCCAGATGGGGGAGGCCTTCTGTGCACAGTGTGTGCTGGGTGAACTCCAAAGACACCTTTTCCTGATGCTGGTGCACACTGGAACCGCACAGGACAAGCGGATGCAGAGTGGGCATCCAGGGAAGATGAGTGGCTCCCTCATCAAAGGGCAGTGAGGGTGGCTGCTTATTGCTTGCTGACTCTCGGTCCTCTGGTCCGATGCACCTGCTCCTCTCCACACACTGTGGACACAGAGGGAACCAACCAGGAGAAAGCAAGAGGCTGGCTCAGAGGCTTCACCATCCAAGCAGAGTGGACGCTGGACCCATCAGGTGCTCTGACGGTCTGCTGACACAGGAGAAGCCCCCACTAGCATCTCTGCGGGATGGTCACATTCACCCAGGGCCCTGAGAACAGGCAGTGAGGGCTTGTAGCATTGGAGCATCGCTGTGGCCGCCTGGGGCTGAGGTGTCTATGTCCGGCGCCTCTTGGCAGCACTGGGGCTGGAAGGATTGCTGTTGGCAGTCAGGACCTTGTCAGTGACCCGGCTGCGTTTCCGCTTGTCTGC